GTGTATAAGCTGTTCAGATTGTCAAAAAGCCTGTGTTTTTATGGTTATTAACAAAGTTTGTGTACTCAGACCAGTAATATTTGGGGTCACAAGATTTTTCAATGCATATTTTATGGGTCAGAAGATAAAAAGTTTGGGAACCACTGCTCTGGACAACCCCGACAAGCTTCACTTCACTTGATCTCCAAACCGACCCTCTGCCGCCCCCTGGTGGCGGTTTGCTGCATCACATGAGAACCCAGCTGTTTTTGGCAAACATACATTAAACTGTGCTTATACCAGAAAGCACCCATTACCCAAAGCTCATCTATTACCATAAACTACATTAAAATAACTGAACATCACACACACATTTATATATTTTGAATAATACTGATTTAATGTGACTGAATAATAATGAACAATAAAATGGTTATTGTCATTTTCGGTTTTTAAAAGGATCAATATAATATGCTAGTATTTTATAATCTAAACCTACTTGTAAATGTTGTATTGCGCAAGCTAGAAAAAACACGACAAAAACTGGACTGGAAATAAAACACGAAAATAAACTCACCACGGGAACCAAACGGAAGCTTGTACGAGGGAAGCATTTCAATGTAACACCACCTTTCCACTTCCTCAAACATGGAGTAAATCCCATACACAGCATGCGGGATTTATTATCGTTTAGTCAGGAAGTTAAAGTCTAATAAAATTGAATGCCTTTTCGTGAATATTTTGAACTCTGGTTGAATATTTTACCCTGACCGTGTACGACATCAAAAATGAAACAAAAGATTTGTTCCGATCTTCTAACTTGAGTGAAGTGAGCTCCTCGGACCCGAGTGCGGTGAAACATGATGATGGAGGCTCACGGTCCGGACTTTCTGAACTCCCCTCCGACCAAGACGGTCAGGTTTGGAGGCAGTGTAACCGAGACCCTAAAGAAACACAGACAGGTGAGTGGGAACACTGGCTGAAGTTTCTGCAAGCTTACATGACAAACTACTACACAAAGACCCGAGTTTGTGACACTGTTGAGCCATTTTATTGTAACATCTAATCTAAACTAGAGTTGTATGAAGAAAGCCACATCATCTGATGAAGCCCTTTTCTTCCTCTCTTTAGGGAGATCTGGGTGATTATGAACTGCTGAGACATCAGCTGGCTGATCCTGATATAAAGGTGAGGTGTGTTGATAAACTGGTCATTAGTTTGTTCTGTAATTCCATTTCTTAACAAGTTATCTTTGAACACTATGCAGAAAGCAAATTTAATTTTGTTATAAATGTTAAAGTTGTTATAATCTCAAGGGGATCGAGATGTTTGTTAAACCCAAATTTAGAACCGGTTTAAAGGAACGGAGTACTTCAGTCCAGGGAATAAGATTATGGAATAATCTGGAAGATGACATTTAAAATGCCAGATTAATGTGTATATTTAAAAGAATGATGAAGGTTAATTTGCTGGAGAAATGTGTAAATGTATGAATTTTGTTCATGGAGTTAAACCATTGTTATTATTTTTATTTTGGTAAACTAAAGATTATTTTTGAGTGAATTTATTTATTTGAGAAAAGGGATAAAAATCACAAGATTTTTTTCTTCTTCTGCAGCCTTT